AATTGGAGCAAAACCACTTTTGTCTAATTGCGTGTTATTTTTTTTACTTTTTAAAATTTCATACATGAGTATTGTCCTTGAAGTATAAATTCTAAAATTTGGTCTTCAAAATTTTCTTAGCCTTTTCCAACATGGTGCACTAACAGGAAAGTGTCTCAGTTTTTCAAACGCATGTAAACACAACTGACATATCTGACTTCAGAGACTCTCTACACCAGTGTGGAAATACTTCATAGACTTATGGAATACTTCTATTATTAATACTGAAAATCTCTTTCTTCATTAATAGGGCTTCTTTTAATTTTCCTAATAGTGGGTTATAATGTCCACATAAAAATATCCTTTATGATATGAAGGCTATATGAGTATTCTATAGCTACTGTAAAACTCATAGCAAACCTCATAGTAGAAAACAACAGAATTGCACTACCGTAGGACTCTGCTATTCAAAAGTCCACACTGAAAATAGCAGTGCAGAAAGCATAGTGCTGGAAAAGTTGGGTTTCTTTTGGAAAACAGTAAAAGAAAGTATTTTTCTTGCTGGAAGGACTCCCTCCCCTTGTCTTCAAAGCAAGTGACATTACTTCTGTTTTGGTATCATAATTACATTGTTATGTGACTCTCTTACCCTGTCTTCCCTTTCATTTTTAACAACCCTTGTGATTGCATTTGAGAAATCTGGATTTAAAAAAAGATAGTCACCTCATTTCAAAGTGTATTAATTAGCTTTATTTGAAATATATCTGAAGTTCATATAATTAAAATGGATAGGCAAATCAAAGATAGAAAATGTTTTTTAAATAGAGATTGATAAATCCCTATCGCATGGAATCTATAAAGAAATCATCCAATTCAATAACATAGAACAGACTAGACATCTTAGTGAAAAATGGGAAATAACTGGAATAGATACTCTGTGAGGTAATACATAAAATAGCCAATTTCCACATGACAAAAGTGCTTACTATTAAGAATTCAGCAATACATAAATAAAATTCACAATAAAAAAGACCCCTTCAAAAAGGACAATGTTAAAATGACTTGAAATTTAAGTATTGTCAAGAGTGTGGAGCAACAGGAAACATCATGGAATAGAGGGTGGAAAGAATGGAAGAGCCGAAGGAAGCGTAGCTTGCTGTGGAACATCATCTTCCAGTCATGCTGAGGACACTGAGCTTATGAACTTCTAGCAGCAGTGATTACCTACACAGACTCACACAAGATTGTGCCCAGAAACATTCAGTCATGGAGAAGGGAGAAATTCATGAGACTCCACCAATCCCTGAAGATTTATAGGCAGTGAATTGTTGCTAGGGGAGGGAGACATTTTCTTCAGTAGTGTAACCACTGGTAAGGTGCTCACACTCCTGTAAGCAACCTTAGTAACCGGTAATCCACAAAAGTAGAAGGGGGGACTACTTTAGAAAAGAAAGATCAGCAGAAAAGGGTGGTTTGTATGAGAAATAAATAGTCACCATACATTCAAGTATTTGAACACTTAATTCCCAGTGGGTGGTGCTGTTGGGGAGGTCAAGAAACTTTTAGTATGTGTAGCCTTGCTGGGGGAAGTATGTCACTTGGGGGAGGGGGCTTTGAAAGTTTATATCCTCCCCTCACTCCCAGTTCACTCTCTCTGCTTCCTCTGTATGGTTGAAAATGTGATCTTTTAGCTCCCTGCTCTGGCTGCCAACTGCCATGCCTCCCCCTTTGCCACCATTATGGACTCTCCTTATAGAACCATAAGCCAAAATACACTCTTCCATAAGTTGCTTTTGATCATGGTGTTTTATCACAGCAATAAAAAGTAAATAACACATAGGGAGGTCAGATGTGGTTATGAGAGTACATATGATAATAAATTATACATATATGGAGAAACATAATATCTATAATTATAAATAATTAATAATAAAAATAGCAATCAAAGGCCAGGT